TTCTTGCAAAGCAGCCTTCAAGTAATGAGACTTTTGAGTTATCTCAGGTGGGAGTCCAGCCATGGAAGAACAAATTGGAGCAAATCAGTGAGTATTTGTTTCTAAAGGCGGAATGATAACTAAAGTCGATGAAGGTGGAGCAGTTGGAACTTCTTGATTAATTTCTGAAATGTTAGCTCTCTTAGTCTCATAATTCACTTCATCTTCATCTTGGAAACCATCAACGTTGAACACCGAAATGCCTTCATTAATGATACTCGGGTATTTGCAAGGTGGGCCATGAAAATCATGAGTGTCATCTATTCCTTGAAGCGTACCGATTCTCCCATCATTCTCGCCAGTCTAATCTTGCAAAGAGGTTGGATTCATAGAAAAATCCAATCATTCAGGAATGCTTGGAAAACCTACAAAAAAAGATGGAGATATCTAAAAAAAGAGAGAAGAAGATATTGAAAAAAAACTACCCGCGTTCCGTGTTTGAGGCGACATATATAAAAATTCACCATCTGATGGTGTATTCGGAAGACTAATGTTAATTTGAGAAACTTTGTCGTCACCTTTTGAATGATTTGGGATAGCTTGAAGAGGCATTGGTTTTATCGATAATTTAATCTTATATATTCCGGAAAGAGGAGCCTTGAATTGAAGTTCGCTACATAAGTCCAAATACAGATAGTATGTTAAAAAAACATAATAATAACATACCTGATCTCCAGAACTTTCATCTCCCTGAGTTAGAGTATTTCCATGTGCATGGGATGCTCAATCTCTAGGACTACTGTAGTTTGGAATCAAGACTACTTCAGGCATCTTATCAGAAAGGTGGTAGACCTTGGTCTTAAGTTTGTTCATGAACAAATATTTTCTGAACCCGTAAAATAATAGCAGTACAAAATTTTACTCTACACCAAGAAAATCTCAAATCTCAAAATCTTTGACTTGTTCCAAAAGTTAAATCCTTGAAAATAAAAATGAAAAAATGTTAGAGCCAATCATATAACAGCCATACTGATTGTTTATGAAACAACAAAGAGGAGGAAATATAGAGAATTTCACTTAATTGAAATGGTGTTACACGGCTCCTTTATATAGCCATACTTCCATACTTTACAGAATATCTTTCTACCAACTATACTACGTACTACAACTCAAACCTTACTTGACTAATCATCTAGACAACTTGTAGTACCAACTTGCATAAAATATGAAACATAACTTAATCTATCATAATTTACAAAATACAAGTCAAGCTCATGATAACAAAATGGTTTGACAACAAAAGTGTCACATTGACATGGTTCTTCACTCCTCCTTGATACTTTTGTTGGAAACACTAAGACAATCTCTTAATGTTTCAAACCTCTCCTTAGGCAAAGTTTTGGTAAAAATATCAACAACTTGTTATTCAAAACTGTAGTGCTTGAGTTCTATCCCTTTCCTTTCTCGAGCTTCCCTAATAAAGTGATACTTGATATTTATATGTTTAGTTTTTCCATGAAACACTGGATTCTTCACAATTTCTACAGCTGATTGGTTGTCACACAGAATGGTAGTTACCTCAGATTGCTGGTGCTTCAGATCATTCAGAATTTTTCTCAGCCAAATTGCTTGATTAGTTGCCTCAGTTGCTCTATATACTCTGCTTCAGCTGTGGATTGAGCCACCATTTTTTGTTTGATAGAGTTCCAGCAGACAAGACTTGAACCATTATAGAAAGTATAGCTTGAAGTACTCTTCATGTCATTAGCAGAACCGGCCCAATCACTAACTGTAAAGCCAGTTAGAAGTAGAGTTTTTGACTTATTGAAACTGATTCCAAACTCCTATGTTCCTCTAATGTACCTCAGCACTCTTTTTGCAACTTGGAAATGAATTTCACTTGGCTCTTGACTGAATCTAGATAGCAGATTAATAGCAAACATCAGGTCTGGTCTTGTGGCTGTTAGGTAGAGCAAGCATCCAACCAAGCTCCTATAAACCTTTTCTTCAGTTTTCTTTGCACCATCATCCTTTATTAGCTTTGAATTTTGGGCTAAATGAGTTTTAACTGATTTGCAATTCTCCATATTGAACTTTTTTTACACTTCTTTAGCATACCTCATTTGGAAAACAAAAATACCATCTTCAGTTTGATTAACCTCCATTCCAAGGAAATATTTCATTTCACCTAGATCAGTCATCTCAAAATCCGTCTTTAATTCATCTTTTATCTCATCAATCAAAGCTGCATTACTTCCTGTGATTAAGAGATCATCTATATAGAGTAAAATAATGAGCAGATCCTCCTCTACTGGTTTGATATACAATGTTTGCTCATTAACACTCTTGTTGAAACCAAGGCTGCTGAGATGACTGTCAATTCTACTGTACCAACTCCTTGGCGCCTGCTTCAAATCATATAAGGCTTTCTTTAGTAAATACACTTTATCTTCTTCTCCTTCTTTGGTAAAGCCTTCAGGTTGCTCAATGAAGATCTCCTCATTCAGATGCCCATTCAAGAAGGCAGATTTTATATCCAACTAGTGTATTTTCCATTTTGATTTAGCAGCCATTGCAAATAACAATCTTATTATTTCAAGTTTGGCAACATGATCAAATGTATTAGTAAAATCAATTCCATATTGCTGAGCATAGCCTTTTACAACTAGCCTAGCCTTGAACTTATTGATTGAGCCACTAGCATTCAACTTTGTTCTGAATACCCACTTAACTCCTATGACATTCTTGTTTCTTGGTCTGTCAACAAGTAGTCACGTCTCATTCTTTTCAATTGACATAAGCTCATCCTTCATGGCTTCTATCCACTCTTTAGAATGTGCAGCTTCACTATAGTTTGCAGACTCTTGAATTGCAGAATTACAAGTAGCATAAATATCCTGAAGTGATCTTGTTCTCAACACTTCATTTTTTGAGTCTAATTTACCTTTAGGTTGCATTTCTTCTTCATCATTACCAGCATCTTCATTGTGAGAAATCAATCTTGGAGTCTCAGATTTATTCACATCATCTTACTCCTAGTTCCATGAAGAGTTCTCATCAACTTTAGCATCTCTGCTGGAAACAACCTTGTTGGTTTGAGGATTTCAAACTCTATATCCTTTTGCATTTCCACAATAACCAACCAAGACACCATCTTCAGGCTTTTGACTGAATTTATCCCTTTTTTCATTAGGAATGTGAGTGTAATATATGTTTCCAAACACTTTCAGGTGTGCCACATTCGATTTCACTCCATACAATGCTTCATAGGGTGTTTTCTTGTCCAAAGCTTTAGTTGGTAATCTATTAAGAAGGTATATGGCTGTGTTCATAGGTTTAGACATCTGACTTATGGTCATCTCCATAAATGTACTATTCTTCCTTTCACAAACTCCGTTTTACTGAGGTGAATAAGGAATAGTTAGCTAATGCTTGACTCCAACTTCATCACAAAATCTGTTAAACTGGCTCCAGGTATATTCAGTGCTGTTATTTGTCCTTATGGCTTTGATCTTACATTCACTTTCATTATCTACAAAGCTTTTAAACTTCTGAAAGACTGCTGCAACTTCAGACTTCATTTTCAGAAAATAAACCCAACACATCCTTGTTAGATCATCTATAAAGAGAACAAAGTATCTGCGGCCATTTAAAGTTGGTGTTCTCATTGGACCACACACATCAGAATAGACTAATTCTAGTTTACTCGAAGCTCTTCTTGACTGATTTTTAGGAAATGGCAACCTAGTTTGCTTTCCTAATTGACAAACATCACATACACAAGCATCATCATTCACATTTGGCATATTTTCCCCAAGTTCTAGTTCATTCAAGTACCTAAGTAAAGTATAATTTTCATGTCCAAAATGTTTATGCCACAGATAAGATTCAATCAAGGTACTGGCAAAGGCATGTGAGTTAACATTCTTCCATTCCAAAGGAAAACTCCTA